GGAAATTTCAGGTGGGTAGTTTCCCGCATATCAGCCCTACGTGGCCGTTATATACCCCTATAGGCTTCCCATACAAGCCTTCTATAAGCCTTATGTAAGGGTACCCACCTGGTAACTCCCCACCTGAAATTTCCTTTTTTTCGGGCTAAGGGAGAATCATCTCAAAAAGCTAGTGAATTCTGTGTCAGTCGGAGCGTGCATGGAATTCTGTGAAGCTACTTAATCCAAACGAACATGGATCTTCACGGCTGTTAATGTGCTCGTCCTTTGCATTGGACTACATTGTGCCAGATGGATGTTGCAGACGCGTTGTACCCTGCAGGCGTACTTCCGACGGGCACAGGCAAACATGGAGCTCCGAAACTGGAGCGACTCGGTTGCAAAGCCCATGCAAAGTGGACATGTTGGAAGTAGGGTTTCCGATGGTTTTTACGTGGTTCAGTTGGAGTCTGGAGTGTTGTTTCTGAGGCGTAAAGATTCACTCACGGCGTGACTTAAACCATGAGATTGTACTCCATTTTGTGTGGTCCAGTGCATGGCACAAAAGCATCAAGCTACACAAGCATTCAAAGTTAGGTGGACTCCCCGCGCAGCAACACTGACTACAAGGGATAATGGTGATTATATTAGGGTCCTCTTATATTCCTATTATGATACTATTATTACAGGGTGGGGGGCCTGCCTAAATTCAAAGTTTCATGCCAAGCCCAAAAGCCGCAGTTGCCATTAGGGCAAACCCTAAGCCCTAAATCCTAAACCCTAAATCCTAAACCCTAATCCCTAAACCCTAAACCCTTTGGTATTTGCCCGATGCCTGAAGTGTGCACCCCAAGCGCACCCCAAGCCCACCCCCCGGAGGCGACGCAGTGACTGACCTCGAGAAGGCCCCTTGGGCCTCTTTTGGTTTAGGGTTTAGGGTTTTGGGTTTAGGGTTTAGAGTTCAGGGTTTAGGGCCATGCATCCTAGTATAGTCTAAACTACTATAATCTGCTATAGTATATGACAACATAGTACAAACTATTGTAATCTACTATAAGATACTATGACCTGGATGTTAGTAGTTGCATGAAGCCAGTGAGAAGCAATTCCAGTATGACTTCATGTTGAGATACTTCCCACCTTGGTGTTGTTCCCCGAATCATCCTAAGCCCCCAGAGGTTTAGGGTTTAAGGGGTTTGGGGGCTTTAGGGCTTACGGGGTTTTAGAGTTTAGGGTTTAGGGGGTTTAGGGCTGAGGGGGTTTTAGAGTGTAGGGTTTAGGGGGTTTAGGGCTTAGGGGTTTTAGAGTTTAGGGTTTAGGGGGTTTAGGGCTTAGGGGGTTTTAGAGTGTAGGGTTTAGGGGGTTTAGGGCTTAGGGGGTTTTAGAGTGTAGGGTTTTGGGGGTTTTAAGACCGACTCGGAGGCACGGTCGATGGCGCCCGAGGACACCGGCATTCTGACAAATCTGCGGCACGACGGCAGATGGCAGCATCCCAAAATGCCCGGAAGCAAATGGATGTCTTGGGTACTGCCCCCCCCAGTAACAGTCTACATTAAGGGTCCTATTCAGGGCTATATATAACCGTACTATCATTATTATCCAACTGTTACTGAGGGGGGGCAGTACTGAATGGATGTGGTATATTAGGTTCAGGGCTGGCATACCGACGAAGCTGAAGCAGCTACTACCACATGTCGAGCCCATTTTTATGCTGAAGCCCAAAGAAGGGACCGCAAACCGTGTCCGGACATGGGAACCCGCAGCTGGAAACCCAAGCCACAATTTCATGATGGCATGGTTCTACAGGCTCGAAACTTCAGTACCCCTATCTGAAGCTTAGTTTGTCTCACTCATGGAGTTGCTGTTATAAGTAAGTTTCCGATCTATCTTCTCCTCTGACTTAGGCGGACTTGCCGGCGCAACATGAAGCAGGGCGATGCGGAGGAGCGGCAGCGTTCCAAGGCTACAAACAGGTTGGTGAGGTTCAAAGGACTTGATGAAGCTTAAGTTCGCAAAGCCTGGCCAAGATGCCGTAGTGAGCGCAGTTGGTACATGGAGGCTCTCCTTGCTAGACTTGGACAAGGACAGCTGGTTCCGCTACTTATTGCAGTCCTGCCGCCGCAGCGTGAAGTATAGGGTCGCGGTTCGAACATGAGCTGTAAACACCACATGGTATAGCAGTTTCTGCTTTCTTTTCCATTCCCCTTCCTAGCCCTACATAAGTCTCAACCCTAAACCCAAACCCCCCTAAACCCCCCTAACCCCTAAACCCAAACCTTCAAAACCCTAAGCCCTTCTGGGGTCTCCTACATAGCATTAAGGCTGCCAATCCGACCTTGATGCCGACCTGAGGTTATGCTGGTATGTTTGGCAGTCCAGCTCCTCGGCAAGAGCCCCCACCTAGAAAGGGGTTCTATAAGCTATAGTCTAAATTCCTTAAAGGCCGTTTAATATAGGGGATTATATATAGGACTACTATAGGGGTTATTAAGGGGGATACTGGGAGTTTAGATTATGGCTCAGATGGGGATTATAGAAAGGTTTTTTGGGTGGTGTTTTAGAGGGACAACAGGGTTTATATGGGGGTGTATATGGGGATTATAGGGTTTATATGGTGGTATATGGGGTTATATATTTCCATGAGGCTCCATTTGGCGGTTGTCCAAAATCAGGTGTACTTTTGGTGGGGTCCCCATCATTGGGATTATAGTATATTTGTAGTATATCAGGGTCTATATCCGGGCCCCCCAAATTATTTGGGAAAATCGTATAGGGATTATAGAAGATTTTATAGATTGTTTAGGGATAATACAATAGTGATGGAGAACCAAATCGAAAAGAACATGGAAAGACACATGGAGACTGGTCATACTTGGGAGCTTCGCAAAATTGAGTACCTTGTCGATTCTAGGGATGCATGGGGGGCTATGAGAGGACGATGGAGGCCCTTACTAGGAGGTGGGAATATTTAGAGAAGTATCCGCAGCCGACCAGAAGTCAGCTCTCTGCCTCTCAGTCTGGGTGGCAAGTTTTTCCCGACAAAGCAGAAAAGTTTCTGACTGCGCCTCCTCCCCAAGCCTGAGGCCTGTGTCCTACACGTAAAAGCCAAAGCCAAGGCCGCCGACAGCCCGGTGGAGGCTGCAGAGACCGTGGCGGAGGCGGCGCCCCAGCAGGCGCCGCCGGCTGCGGAAAAGGAGGCGAAGCAGGAAGAGGACCCTGTTGGAAGGGCATTTTCCCAAACAAGCATTCAGACCCCTTGGGATAGAAAAAGATGATGGGGACCTGATGGTGTCCCGCTAGGAATTTCCTAGAGGTCATTTTGAGAGACTCCTCTATATATTTACACACATACACACATACATACATACATACATACATACAAACATACATACATACATACATGCATGCATGCATGCATGCATGCATGTTTTTGTTATGTTTCGTGTCGCTCTGGCCGTTCCTATATGGCCACAAAGATCGCAGGCTGAACTACTTGGCTGCAAATGCGAGTCTGATTGCCCTGGGTCAGCCCTGTTGTTTTGGGACATGTCCTTGATCCCGCCAGAGAAAATCATCCCTCCCCCCAATACCAATGCCAACGACAACGACACCTCACTCCTCCAAAAGCTTAAGTGGAGGTTTTCACAAACAGGCCTCCTTATTTTAGCACATTAAGCAACCCTCATATGTTGGATGGCCCGAAAGTCTTACCCCTCATATGTTGGATGGCCCGAAAGTCTTACCGCTCAGGAGGTTCCCAGCGCGCCGCTGGCGACTCCGACCCCTGCGCGTGCAGAGCGCCGTTCCGAGGCTCGAGACCTCGGCGAGGCCGCAAGGGGCTTGGGGAGTTTTGTATGGATTCAAGGGATTTATTTGGTGCCATTGGTGGCCTTCCTGGGGCGTTATTAGGTGTCATCAGGGGCTCTGGACAATTTTTGAAATGAGGCGCTTCGGGCGTGGGCTGAGGTGTGGGTGTATGTTAGGTTCAGGATTCAGGGGACTCTTGTCAAGGGCTCTGGGTTGGGGTTGGGGTTGCAGGATCTTCTTACAGGCTTACACCCTATCGTTTTTGGAGGAACCCAGTAACTCAAGAGTGGTCCCAGAAGATTGGCAGGTTAGGTGCAAGCTGGGGGAGCTAAGGTTTTGCGATTTAGGATGAACAGTTTGGGTTCTGAGATGTGTTGTGATATTTCAAGGGGAAGAGGGAGGATTCTGGAAGGCAGGAGGTTAGCAAGAGGCAGAAGTGGCTGTTTTGGTGATGCTTTGTGAAGGTAGGTGCCCCCGCGAACAGGCCCACGATGAGGCCAAGAAGCTGGATCGCGCCGTGAGGGTGCCTCAGCGCGTATTGTTGGATGTCTGGGCTTGGGTCTACATGAGCTGTAGTCTAAACTTCTTAAAGGAGGTTATGTAGGTTGTAAGGGCTATTATAGGGGGATACTAGGAGTTCAGACTATGGCTCACGTCACCTCAAGAAGCAGCATGGGCACCCAAGAAGCGATGCTTCAGGTGGCGTAGAAGCTAATGAGGTTGGAGAAATCTTCATTAGAAAGGCAACCAATTCACCTTGTTTGTTCTGAGGTTCGACATGACTCGTGTAGAGTCCTCAGAAGATTCAAAATTCAGGTGGACCCCCCACCCTGTAATAGTGGTATAATAGGACTCTAACGGGACCCTAATGTAAGCACTATCACATTACTTTCCCTTATACTCACTATTACTGGGTGGGGTCCACCTAACTCAGAATGATGTTCTGATGCAAGCTATCATGCAAAGGCCCCACCTCACCTCCCCTTGATGATCTGGGAGCACGAGTAGCCCTTATCACCTCCGTTTAGGGTACCATTTTGGGGGTCCCTAGAATAAGGAGTATAATATTTTGGGGTCCATGGTGGGCTCCCCTTTAGCCCTCAAAAGCTTCGTTAAGGGTTTGAGGGTTTGGGCTGACAAACGGATCCTTGCCGGCACGAAAATGACGGGGAAACTGAGCAAAGGCCAGCTTCCCAGGCAGTCTTCCCTCTACTACTTGAAGGGTCAGGGAGACTTAATAAGTAGGTTGATCATGGGGATAACTAGGGTTATCATATGGGTTATAGGGGTTTCTAACCTAATGACTAATAAGTCCCCCTGACCCTCCAAGTAAGACGGCAAGTGCCATTGTGATGCATTCGAAGCTTTGTTGGGATGCTAGCGTAGCCTCGGTAGCACTGCCCAGGAACTTACCTACGCCTGGCAGCAGACAGACGACGAGGCGGATGGTCGGATAATATCCCCAAACCTTGTATGAAGACGGTAGTTTCCCAAATCGGGACCATAATCCGTATTCTTGGGACCCCCAGAGTGGTGCAGCAGCAAGTTTTGTGTAGCCCGCACGTAGCTTGTAGCGAGATTGCTCCTATGGCAGATCCCCGGAAATATGCCCCCTGCGTACGAGCAAACCAGGATCTGCATTGTTTTAGGAAACCTCGAAAATGAATTACCGACATCTCGTTTAATCTGCAAGAAGCGTAAACAATCTTTGTATAATCTCTAATGAGGATCCCCCGTAGTATTAACGCTAGCGCCGGTGAGAAACAGGTCAGCCCAAGATCCACGGCCCAGCCCCACCAATTCCCCAGCAGGGGGCAAAAACTCAATAAAGCACCAAAAGGTGGAGGGGTGGGGTGGGGGGGAGTAAGGGGTGTCGGGGGGCCATATTTTGGGCGGGAACTTTTCGCTTCCACCGCCCAACCCTCAGGCCTTCCATAGAGTTCCTCCAAAGCTGCACGCTCATGAACGGGTTTCGGGTTTAGGGTTTGAGCGTTGGAGGTGGGTGGAGTTCTTGCCAGAGGCCAGGGGTCTCGGCGGATTCCCTTATAATCCCCACGCATATCATGAAAGGTATTGGCGGTGATTCTGGGTATCATGATTATTGTATTATCTCTAAGTACTGTTGTTATATACACGTATTCACCTGAAAGCATCAGAGGTGAAAGTCTATGTGTCCTTCGACCAGTCGGATGACCTCTCCGATGTGAAGGACTCGCAGGTGCAAGCAGCGCCTCAGTTGGAAAGATGTGGGGTCTTTTCAAAGGAGGTCATGCGCATCTTCAAGAACCAGAGATTTAATTTGTCCTCGCAAAGCCCTGAACCCTAAGCCGAGTTCAACCCTAAACTCGAGATCACACTGGAAGCCCTCACGCTCTTGGCATGCCCTTCGTTCAAATGCGAAAACTGATTAGCATTTCATAGATTAACTTGTAGATTCCACTTTCGGATAGGCATGCTAGGTGTCCCCAGCGCCACATAGCCCCGCACATAGTCCATATTGATCCACATTGAGATCCTAGGAGGGATTCTATGGCATTACATGGGGTGAGGGGAGCTAAATGCAGGTGGTTGGGGTTTCGCGATGGCTTAATCGCACGCATTGTGGCTTTTGTTGTTTGTGCTGTTGTCTTCTCCCCAAACCCTAGAGCCTAAACCTTAGTCTCAAAACTTATGTAGCTTTCCATTGCTTCCAGCTGCAAGTGCCATTCCTCTTGGTTGTGCTGCTGCTTATGTCGCTTGCTGCGTCTATTGTATTAGCGATGATGATGATGATGATGGTGATGATGGTGGTGGTGGTGGTGATGATAATGATAATGCTGGTCGTGGTGATGATGGTGATGAGAACAATAATGGTAGTTGTGGTGATGATGGTGATGATAATAATAATGGTGATGATGGTGATGATGATGGTGATGATGATGACGATGTCAACTGCTGTTATAGTCCTACTCGAAGAAAACCTTGTCCAGAAATTAGCACTCTTTCTGTCCGTTCCACCCCACGATTATTTGCATATCTCGCGTTACTGCCATGAACTGCTGCCAGCCCAGGAGTTTGGTGAGTGGAGTGCCAGCTTGCTCATCAATGTGGAAGGGGGTGGGCAGACTGAATATGGCATTGACCTACAATTTTTGTCCAGGGGTGCTTAGTTGGCAACTCCAGGAAGTTCCAGGGATAACATGGAACTGTGGCTGGGTACGTGGGGCAAAGGTGAAAGCATTCAGGGTCAGGAAATTCTGAACCGACCTGAACATTTTAGCAGTCCACTTCTGACAGGTCTTTGTAGAGTTCTCTTGATTAATTGTGAGGGCTGGGTAGTTGTTCTTAACTTCATGATGGCGTTGGTTGATGCGTGAAATGTGCAAGTGAAGGAAGCAGCTTCTTGCGTGCAGTTGTGTTATCTGCCACCAAATCCCATGGAGTGAGCTTAGCAAGCAAGACGTTGGCAGCACGAAGAGGCTCTGCATGATTTGCCATTATTGACATTATTAGATGCTCTTCAGGGAGAGTGGCAGGGCAGACTTCAAGCAACTCTCCAGAGCTGGCTGCACTACTTGTATATTAGTGGTTATATTGGGGTTATATAGGGATGATGGAAACTACTATTTAGGGTTTAGGGTTTCCCAGGTCAAGCAACCAAAGTCCAGGGACGTACAGCTGAGACATGCTGACATCTTTAGCTAGAGGCAGATCTAAAGAGATTTATCTCACGTCCTTTAGCTCCCGACCCCGGCCCGTGCTTGATGAGTTGGTTTCAAAACCCAACCCCCAAAGCCCTACCCTCCAGATTCTGGATGAAGGCGTGCCCTTTGGCCTCCGCCTGGCAGATTTCCACCGCCGAGTTGACCCCGCCAGGCCAGGTTAACCCGCAAACAGACTCTCTCAGGTTAGAAGTATGGGCTTCTTAGGCCTTTAGGGGGATTCTAGGGACCCTTATGGGTACTTCTAGGGCATACAGTAGGATGGGTTTCAACCTTAGAGACTCCATCCATCGCGAAATTTGGGCAAAGATGGTTCTTTAAAGTTGCTTTACGACCCAGATGCAGAATCCATGCTCAGCAGACTTCCAGCATTGCTGTCATGATCTCAGTCATTTTGGCAAGTTTTTCTTGCTGGTCTTGTAGAATATAGTAGGGTGGTTGTCAAAATTATGGTCCCTTTTTTGGATCCCTATTATAATACGGCACCTAATATTTAGGGTACCCAAAAAGGGACCATAATTTTGACAACCACCCAGTAGTCAGCAGCAGCAGTCAGCAGGGGCGGGATGAGGGAGGAGGAGCAGAAGCGGGAGTAGGAGGGTTATGAATTATGACCACTAGTACTATTATGATGGTTATGATCATTATTACTAAGACTATTATTATTATTACTACAGTTATTACGATTATTACAGTTATCACGATTATTACCACTGTTGCTACTATTACTATGATCATGTGTGCAGGTGCAAGTGCACTGTGCGAAGCAGCAGGATAACTTTGAAGCTGCCAGACTGGAATTGGTCACCTGGGTTTGCCGTATGAGTCAAGTCAAAACTTCTTCAAAGAGCGCTTTGCCGGAGTGATCGATGTTAGGGCTTAGGTTTGAGGGTTAGAGTTTCATTGGAAGTACAACTTAGATCTGGAAGAGGAGTTTGAGCTGTTTGAAAATTGGTTTGTGGGGTAGTGCTGGGAGGAACAGACGTTGGTAGTTCCGAAAAACCTTGGAGAATAAAGGCCCAACACCTGCCAGCCTCCCCAATGCTCTTCCTGAGGTAGGCCCGCAGCCCCCAAAGTCAGACTGCGAATATCAGAATGCCTTGCATCCGCGGCAGCCTCCTCATGGTCCCCCCTTCCTAATCCCTGTAACAACAATTTCTTCTGCTATCGGGTCCCAATATACCTAGTACATGCCCTAAGTATACACTGCATCAGAAGGGGCACGTCGGAAACCTTGTTAGAATCTTCCAACTTTGCAGCTCAGCTGAGGCTTGTAAAGCAAGAGTCGGAGCACTGGTGGAATTTTCTGCAGAATTCCTCCCCTGGATAGGCTCATTGTCATCGCGATACGTGTCACTGGTTGTCTGCAAGCCATAGGAGCTTTGTGTCATTCCCACTTGTACGGCCGGGCGATTCTGCTTCCTAGCATATTGCATCATTAAGGCAGATTTGCTTGTAATCAGTATCGTTCGGGTTTTTTTAATAGCCTAGATTATCATTTACCTTCCCCATGTATGCCGCCTAGGATCCTGACACATCCCTCAAACAGGGATTGAAATACAGCTCGCAGTGATTCACGTTTCCTTGGCAACTAATGCATGCTCTCCAAGCAAACGTTCCATAGGACCATTGGCCTTAGAAGCGCTTTGGTTTGGTGGGCGTGACTGTCGAATTCCAATATGCCTAGGGCTTGTCTAGCCGCTGGTTTGTTCTACGTAGACGAGTTCAATTCCGAATCGCTTGGCAGAGAAGTGGGATGTCCCATGCATAGTTGATGGCCCTTCAGTTTTCACGGCACCGAATACTTCTTGTGTCTGGGTTTTTGTCCTGCTTGGTTGTCGCATGTTTTGACGATGAGTTGCGTTTCAGGCTTTGCATGAAGTCTATAAGTCTACGAGTCTATAGCGTTTGTTGCCACCTCCCTTAACTTGAGGTGCATGTACTTGCCAATGTGCCAATCTGGGAGGATGGTTGCAGCTTGTAAGAGCAGCCGAAAGACCTTGCTTCACTTGTGGAGGATCAAAAGCTTCTTTGCTCTGGCTCGGGCATCTGACCGGAACAACTGATTGAGTTGTTGCCAGCCAGAAATGGTAATTTCCCCAAAACAGGTGACCCCAATATAGACCGAATATGCGTAATTTTCCATGTTCTGTTCCATGTGATTCCTCTTTTTTGGGCTATTATCTCTATATTAATATAACCCCTATATAAACTCTATAACCCGTGTATAAACCCTACAACCCCCATATAAACCCTATAATCCCTATGTCACCCCGATATAAACATGTGGGAGCCTCGGGGTAATACACCCCTGGGGGTCCGAAGACCTCAACAACTTCCAGTAGCATGGGCCTCTTCTTGGGCCGTTTGTGGCTTGGGGTATAAGTGTGATAACTACAGCCGCGACCGCAGTCAGGAGACTTGAACTCGAAACCCTACTTACAACATCTTTTAACTACTCATGAACCTTCAAATGGTAGTTTCCCAAAATAGGGGCCCCCAATATAGACTCCAAAATTCTGTAATCCTTCTTATAGGGACCCTCAAAAAGGTAGCCCGAAATTTGGGAACCTCCAAGTAGGTCCCGACCAATCCGACCGCATTATTCCGAGGCCCGGCCTCCGTTATGGCTTCTGGCTCTTCTGGTTCGACGTCGTGGCCTTAGGGGCCCATTCTTGTTGGGAAAGGGTTTAGGGTTTAGGGTTTAGGGTTGAAAGGGAGTCAGGTCTTACAAAAACTGGGGTGGGGGGGTTCGAAAAACAGGGCGGCCCTAGAATTAAGGATGACAGCACTTGGTGGTACATAAATGTCACCTCAGCCTTTGGGGATATTTAACTTGGTGGAGTCTGGCAGATATCTTGCTAACGTTCTCGCCTTTTTATACTCTTCAAGGAATTGAACAATCACACCAGCTCGCCAAAAGACTGTCACCCTAAACCCTAAACCCTAAAACCTAAACCCCAAATCCAAACCCTTCGCTTGCAGGACCTGTGAGCCAATCAACAGCGGATATGCGGGCACCATTCAGCCAGAGCCCCAGCAAACGTCCTTGCATTTTGCTAAGAATGCTTCATACCCTGAACCCCAAACTGCAAACCCCAAAAAAACTAAACCCCCTAAACCCCAAACCCGAAACCCCAAACCTTACACCCTAAACCCTAAACTCTGTGATGAAGTGAAAGGGTTTGCATCCTTTGCTGACTTCAGTGAGTTTGGCTTCCCCTGGATCCTTGAAGCAAGACTACCCTAACTTACTTGTGAATAGCCACTTGAGCCATAGTCTCAAGGGGGTTATAATAGGGGAGTATTATACGGGAAATTAAGGGGGATACTAGGAGTTTAGATTATGGCTCACTTAAGACTGATTTCTGCAATTTCTTGTCTCATACCATTGGCCATTCACACTCATGAAATAAATTGGGTACGTGATATGATCATATTATTGCTCTTACTTTTCGAAGTAATCGAACAGTTCTTATTGCTATTACTGTGTTTCTGTCGCCAGCGTTTCTCGTGACTCTTACGCTTCTTCTCCTACTCCTTGTTAGATGACACCCTAGGATCCAAGTATACACATAATACTTACATGCGGCCCCAAGCCTGTACATATACCTACATTGGGCTATTTGGATCCCTAAGCCCTAAACCCTTACCCCCAAACCCTAAACCCTACAATACCTACATTGAGCTAGTTGGATCCCTAGGGACACGTTTGCAGGATCAGCTGCTTCTTCGGCGTCCTCACGGCCAATCCATCTGGCTGCAGTCCGGAGCTCTTCCAGCTTTGGCAGGTTTCGTTGGCTTAGGGTTGGTGGTTGGGTTTGGGGTTTAGGGTTAATTAGGCTTTAGGGTTTAGGGTTATTCAAGGGTTGCCTAAACAGACTAAGGAGCCTTAAAAGGACAAGTTGCCGGGGACCTCTGTCAGAAACCCCCAGAAGCACGAGAAATGGCCTCCTCCTAATATCAACCCCCCCACCCTCCCTGTTTTTAACTACTCCCAGTACAGCATCATACTACAATGGGGAGTATTTAATAGTAGGGGGAGGGGAGTGCAGCACCCAGTCAGCTTTGTGTGCGAGGTCCGAAGCCTTGTGCTCAGGGAGACCAGGTGGCTGTGACTCTAGATGGAGCCAGACACCCAGAGAATCTCATGGCCAAAAAACCGAGTGTGTGTGTGTGTGTGTGTGTGTTTTTGGGGGTGTTTGGAGTTTTGACATATATAATCCCTATATAACCCTATAATATAGTAGTTTCCATTTTCTTTTCCATTATCCTCAAATATAGCACCATTTTTGACTTAAAGGATGCAGCTCTCAAGGTTAGGCCCGGCGTGTTTCCCGGATGGTTCAGTTTGATGATGGACTGGAAGAGTTATGGGCTAGAGGCGCAGCAAGGAAACTTGACTTATTGCACATCACTGTCAACCATGTGCTCCTACTGCCAGCAAAGCTCAGACTAATTATGCGAGTTGCGGCTATGCGGCTTAGCACGTGATGATGAGCCACTTCTTGCCGCGTCCTTCGACTTAATTCTGTCATGTGTTCACAAGTCTTGCCTGGTTTGTCAGTACAAATTTGGCATGCTTAAGGCTTGAGGCGTTCATCGCTGTATATGGTTGCTGTAGGGAACCAGGGTACATGATCCGTATGTATAAAACCCCTATATACTGTATTCCCATATTTCCTACTAAGAACCAGTAAGTATATGGCTCCTGTTACCAGCCTGAGGCCACCAGCACTATCACACTGGGCCGTGAAGTGAAGTGCCTCGGCTGCAATGTTAGATGAAGACCTGATGCAGAGGCAGGCAAAAGTCCGGGCTGCTACTATGAAGTTTGAATTAAGTTGCAATGATAAGGAAACCCAAATATTTACGATTCACGATATGCGCATGTTATATCATAGTATGGTAACTTAATCTAAGTTCCTTAACAGCAACCCGGCAATGGGAAGAGGCGCGGATGTGAGAGGTTTTGGGTCAGGGAGTGCAAGGTAGGGGCACGGCTGGCAAGCGCAGACGGCTTTTGTTGGGCCAAGCAGTGAGGCTTTCATGACAAAAAAGGTATGTCGTAGCTTTGAGGAGATCAACTGATGGTAGAAGTCTTGTGGCGGCATCCCGCAGCTTAAATGTGCTGGACCTGACTTTCTGCAAAAAGGGCCTGCACTGGGCTGCGTCATGTACAGACATAGATTCATAGGAAAGGAAACACGTGGAGGAAAAGGAACACCGTATGTACCTCGTGTTGTTAGAACATAGTTGAGTTTTTTCTTCCCGCCCCTTTACATACATCCCTATGTATGTATACACACAGACACTCATGCCTCTCCCTCCGCCTCTCCCTCCGCCTCTCCCTCTCGCTCTCGCTTTCTCTCTCTCTACATATCCTTATGAGTGCTTATTTAGGTATATGTGGCGATAGTTATGTTCGTTATGGTCTACCAGGTCAGGAACATCCACAACGGCTTTCTGCTCGGACGTGAACAGCGCCCGGCGCTCAGCCTCCACCTGCACAACGGAAGACTAGCCCCCACAGTAGTATTAGGGTTATTTTGGGGCTATATAGGGATAATGGTAAAGAAAATGGAAACTGCTATAATGGGATTGTTTGGGTTTAGGGATTAGGGTTTAGGCTTTAGGGTGCCATCACAGTTTCGGACTTCCACTACTACAGAGGATTATACAGGTCTATATAGGATTGTACAGGAATGATGTGCATGAAGTGTATATATACATATACATATGCAAAGGGTTACATCCGGTTATATACAGTGAGCTACACGATTTCAGAACCTGAAGAAAATCAAAGAGGAGGAATCACATCGCGCGACCCCACCCAATCTCCGGCATCTTTACCAGGCCTGGGGAAACAGCTTAACTCTCAGCTGCAATCTTGGCGTGCTCAGTCCGGCACTGAGCACGATTGTCAGTCCCCGTGGGAATGTGCTAGGGTTTAGGGGTTAGGTTGGTTAAGGTTTAGAGGGATCCGACACAAAAGGATATGCCTTATTAGCATGGGTCTCTCTCAGTCATGAGCACGAATTTGTTGAGTTTTGGATATGCAGGGAGGAGCAGTACGGTCACCTTTGGCGACCGTAACAGCGACGAAGCACGAGCACTTGTCTCCACCAGTTGTGCTGGGAACGGGCGTGCAGTGGCAAAGTACAAGACGATACTTATAGAAGACAAAGCGGGAAAAAGGGCAATGCTCCCTGCACAGGCCGCATTTGTGCTGACAACCTGGAGCATCCCCTTCAGCTAGCAGATGGCGATTATACATGGAATTCACGTATCCGTACTCCCAACACAACGGGCGCAGTTTGTTCATATAAT